ACAAGTCAGATGGCCAAGTGTGAGAAATGCCGTGGCTTAAGCTTAGCAATCTGTGGCAGCTACACTGGGCCTTGGAGTTAGGGAGGCCGTGGAGGGGTGGTGGTGGGGAACTGGGGCAAATTGATAGGCCCTTTACCCACCAAAGGAGTAACCACTCCAACTGAGATTTGCATGTAGAACTGTGGATTCACTGTTGCCAGTTTTCTAAATTTTTAAGAGGATCTGGAAATCCAGTTTTATGAGATATCTCCTGATTTTTAAATGTTGGCAACTTATTTAGAAATTTTTTTAGGTTTATTTATTCATTTCATTTATTTTTTTTGATAGACTATTTTTTTTTTAGAGCAGTTTCAGGTTTACAGCAGAAGTGAGCAGAAAATACAGGGTTCCCACATAGCCCTTCCCACCCACACATATATACTCCCCTACTCTCAACATCCCTCATTAGTGTGGCATATTTGGTGCAATTGATGAACCAACGTGGGCACATTATTGTCAACCAAAGCCTATAGTTTAAATTAGGGTTAACTCTTGATGTACATTCTATGGGTTTTGACAAATGCATAGTGACATGCAGCCACCACTATAGTATCATACAGAATAATCTCATTGCCCTAAAATTCCTTGTTTCTCCATTTATTCATTCTTCCCTCCTTCCCTTTCCCCAAACCCCTGGAAACCTTGATCTTTTTATTGTTTCTGTAGCTGTGCCTTTTCCAGAATGTCATTTGGTTGGAATCGTACAGTTTGTAGCCTTTTCAGACTGGCTTCTTTCATTTAGTAATGTGTCTTTTTATTTAAAAATTTAAAACACAGTCTGTCTACCAACACTATGCAAGCCATGTACACCAAAAATCTGCACTCTGGACAGCCTCTTAGGATGTCTGAATTAGACAAACATCAGCAAATCCTTGCACATACGTGGAGAGCTCCAGCTCCTATAATGCCTCATTAGCGCAGGGCAAGGTTCTGGGCAGTCAGACTCCTTAAAAGGGAGTCAAATTAAGACACCAGTGCAGGAATTAAAAGACGTTTGTGCAAAAGCAAGGCAGTTCTACCAAGAGAAAGGGATACCGAAGCCCATCAGGTAGTGATTTGACCTTTTGTACATGCTATGGGTGATTTCTTCTAGCGTCTGGAAATAGGAAATGTGGAGCCCAGGTGAAAGGCAAGGATCAGGAGGTACAGAGTGGTAGCGTGTGGCTGACAGCTTCCGGGGAGGGGGTGGAAGTGGGAGAGGAAGGGAGGGTGTGATCTTGGGCAGGGGTCCCCCGTTGAGGATGCAGATCAGGTAAGTGGGGCAAGAGGGGCACAGAGAGGAGCAGAGGTCATAGATGGGGGAAGGGGACTTTACTCAGGTCCCAGCTGAGGGCAGATCTGCTGGGTTTTAGAGAGCAATTTAGTGAAATAATAGGAATGAAAGCCGAGTTGCAAAAGGTAGGGATGGGGGTTTGGATAAAAGGTGAGTCAGAGGAAGAGGGATGTGGGCGGAGAGCCAGAATGTGGCTGTATAACTTTTACTTTTTCAAATTTTAATTGTGGTAAAATACACATAACAAAATTCATGATCTTAACCATTTCTGTGTGTACAGTTGAGTAGTGTCAAGTATATTCACATTGTTGTATAACTGATTTCTAGAACTTTTTCATCTTGCAGAGCTAAAACTTTTTACACATTAAAAAACAACTCCCCATTCCCTCTGCCCTCAGCCTCTGGAAACCACCATTCTACTTTCTCTTTGTGTGAATTTGACTACTCTGGGTACTTCATATACGTGGAGTCATCCAGTGTTTGCTTTTTGTGACTGACTTACTTCACTTAACATAAGGTCCTTAAGATTTATCCATGTGGTAGTATGTGTCAGGGTTTCTTTAAGGCTGCGTAATATTCCATTGTGTGTATATACCACTTTTTAATGTTCTACTTTTTGAAAATTTTTTA